GACATCCTGCAATATCCCATTTATAAACAGTGATAGCACCATTTTTAATCAGGGTAGAGGGAGCCTAAATGGTGGGGGGGAGGGGGGAGGGGGTACATGTGGGTACATGTGTGTAGTGAACAGTACATAAGACTGGACAGGAGAAAAATGAAATTCTTAGTTGGAAATTCATCTCCCAGGTGATTCTGCCAAGAAGGGAAAAGTTCCTTTAAGGAAGCACTGCCAAGGAATCTCACAGAATCACTATCAGTAAGTTGGGTCACCCTTAAATTTATTGACACCATTATAGAAACATCAACTGGAGAATTCACACTGGGAACGTAGTCCACAGTATCCTTCAACAACCCATATATGAAGTCTTGCAGGATGTCTTTTAGAATTGCGTAAGATGAAAAATCCCTCCAAGGCAAGATGATATTCTTCCATTTTTCCAGTCATGATAGCTATAAAATAGCATACTCATTTTTATGCCTTGACAGAGAGTTAAAAATTGTTGCATTTTCTATTTTTTTTCCTTCCTAGTTTACCCAGTTTTGAACCATACTGTTAATATTCATTGGCTAGGTGACCTTGGGTGAATTATTTAACTTCTCTATGCCTTGTCTTTCTGTATTTACAAAGTGTGGTTCATAATACCAACCTTTTGGGGTTGTTCTCAAAACTACAGGAGACAACACTTGTAAAGTGCTCGAACACAGCCTGGTGCATTGTGAGAATCCCAGAATGATTAGCTATTAATAGTCACGTCTATTTTATTCGGAACATGTTTTATGATAAAAGCCACCTTGGATTCTTTTAAAAATGAAGTTATAAATAAGTATGCTTAACTACGAGCCTCAATATGAATATGATATTTCCATCCAGAAATAAAACTGCCCCACTGCACACTTTATTATTGAGATGGATTCCACCTGGAATGCCTGCTCCAAGCTAGCAGCCATTCTTCAAGGCATATATTAACTTACTTGTTCTTCTAAAAGCTGTTATCTGACCTAAAGTCAACACGATACTCGTGATACGCCCTGCCATCCCACAATGGGCCCTCCCCAACTCACTACATGGCACTTCCATCCATCCAAGAATCCAGACCCTCTTATTAGTGTTGGGTCATCCCTCACACCCAGTCAGCTGATTGATTCTACCTCTTTCCTCAATCGGTCTTCAATCATTTACTTGTCGTTCTCAACCACAATTTCACCTGAGGCCACTTCCTGTTTTGGGTGAGCAGTGCCGTCATGCCCCTCTCCTCCCTGTCCCTCTCACAGCCCAAGCCCACCCACTTTATGTCTCTCCTTAAACAGCATTCTCTCTCCTAGCCATCTCAGCGTCAATATGCTCTCCTATAGAGCAGTAATCAAATTTTAGTAACTGTTTAACTCAGTTTTTCACGGTCTCCTCAACTGGAACGTAAGTGGGGACATCGTGAAGGCAGGGTCTTTGTCTTAACTGTTTACTGCTAGATTCACAGGAGTACCACTGCTTTGCACACAGGTAATTTTTTTTTTAACCTAAAGTTTACCATCTTAACCATTTTTTAGTATACAGTTGAGCAATGCTATACAACAGATTCTGAAATACTTTCATTTTATAAAACTGAAACTCTATTCCCATTGAATGATTGCTCCCCATTTTCCCTGTGCCCCAGTCCCTGGCAACACCATTCTACTTTTTGTTTCCATGAACTTGATTATGGATACTTCACTTAAGTGGAATCACAGTGCTTGTCCTTTCGTGACTGGTTTATTTCACTTAATATAATGTCCTCTAGCTTCCTCCTGTGACAGGATTTCCTTCTTTAAGGCTCAATAATATTCCATTCACCACATTTTGTATGGACAACGTTTTGTTTATCCAATTCATTCACTGATGAACACTGGATTGCTTCCACCTCTTGGCTGTTGTGAGTAATGTCACAATGAACATGCGTGTGCAAATATCTCTTCAAGATGCTACTTTCAATACTTTTGGATATACACCCAGAAGTGGGATTGCTAGATGATATAATTTCTAATATTTTGAGTAACCTCTGTACTATTTTCCATTATAGCTGCACCATTTTACATTCCCACCACCAGTGCTCAAGGATTCCAATTTTTTCATATCCTCACTAACTCGTCTTTTGTTTTCTTGCTGGTGGCCACGCTAATGGGCGTGAGATGGCACAAAGTCACTATTTAATAGATATTTGTTAATGTCTAGATAGACGGAGGCCACAAAGATAAAAAAGTATGGTCTCTGCCCTCAAGAAGTTCCTAGAGTAACAGTAAGAAAGACTGATATAAATAAGGTTTGTGCTGAATGTCTAGATAACAGATGGAAGAAACATCAACTCCCCTTGAGTTGGGAGCTGGAGGGATGGTGGTAGTAAATGGTCAAGGAAACTCTCATAGGGCAGGATACTTAAATGTTAAGTAGGCACTCAGATACAAAAAAGAATGGGAAGGGCATTCCAAAGGTAAAGAATAATATGTTCAAGCAGATATAGTATGGACCAACAAGGCTCCTGTTAGGAGAGAAATCTGGTGTGGACTGAATCCAGACCGTATGTGAGAGGTTACTGGAAAATGAAACGAAAGTGGAGCCTTGTAAGCCATACTAAGAGGATTAGGTTGTATCCAGTAAATGGTGTTACGCCAGGGAGAGCCAAGATCCAATGTGCACTTCAGAGAACTCAATCTAGCAGCAGTGTGAAGGAAGCATCGCCATAGGGGCCTGGGGCCAGGCAGTTAATCCACACAGGAGGCTAACAAAATGGTCAAAGCAAGAGAGGACAGGGACCTAAACCAAAGCAAAACTGTGGACAGAGAGAACCAAGAGAAGGATGTTAGTGGGTAGAAAAGACAGAGCTTTTTGACTGATAAGCAATGGAAGGAGGTGGAAGGAGGTGGAAGGAATCTCTACCTAACTCTTCAGGGAACAGATGAAGTTTAAGGGGCAGATGCCAGCTTGCTTGGAGACAATGGACTGCAGTGCAGTGTCCAGTAGGCAGCTAAATAGGAGTCGAAGATTCAGGTCAAAGATATGGATTAGACACACATATTGGAAGTTGTAAAAATAAAAACTAGTGAATCCTAGCTAAATACCACTCTTTCTTATGTAAATCTAGTGTTGCAGACATACCAGATGTCTTTATGTAGCATATCCTGTTTCTACTAACAGAACGTGTTTTTCTGCATATTTTACAACATGCTAAATGGTTTCCCTTTTTCCACACGGCTTAAATGCTTTTATGAATCTCCCCATATGTAGTCTCAGAAAAAGTGGATAATGATAGCCAATTCCCATCACTTTCTCTTTTATAGCTTTGCGGACCAGCAGAAGGCCCATGGTTGGAAATATTATCAAGACCACTTTTAATTTCAAGTCTAAAAAGAGCAACTAGTTTATTTAGTTGAATATCTAATTTGTTATTACTTCTGAAAAAAGTATTCTAAACAGAATTCTAGTAAGAATACTCACATACTATTCTGTAGGCAGGCATCCAATTTAATAGTCTTTGGCTTAAATGTGGAATTAAACCAATTAGGTATCAAGACTTTAAAAACTAAGCCAACTGAGAAACTTTAATTTATAGATAATTATCACCCTTAGTACCCTGTATTTCATTACCAGGACATAAAACAATGACAGCATGTGGGCAAATAACTTCACAGCCTATGTTCATCTACTATGTTGTGTTCTATTGACTGTGACGTAAAATGTCAGATGCTGGAAAGTACCTCCTTTGACTGTGACCAAACGCTCCGGGCATCCTCAGACAGAATGATCACAGTTAGTCTGTCCACAGGCACAATCTAACAGACTTGAGAGGGCTTCGCTCTAGGGTGCCAGAGGACCAAACCTTTACTCTTCACTCCTACACTCAAGTATCTTCTCTACCATTAGTCAAAGTGAAGTAGAGAAGGAACAGTCCTTTCTTGACAATGAGGAAAGTGCTAGAGACTGAATGTTTGTCCTCCCCTCCCCCACTCATACCTTGAAACCTAATCCCCAATGTGATAGTATTTGGAGGTGGGGCCTTTAGGAGGTGATGAGATCATGAAGGTGGAACCCTCATGGATGGGAGTAGCATCCTTATAAAAGAGGCTCAGAGAGCTGCCTGTCCCTTCTGCCATGTGAGGTTACAGAAGGCACTACCTTTATGAACCAAGAAGTGGGCCGTCACCAGACACAGAACCTGCTGGTATCTTGATCGTGGACTGCCCAGCCTTCTGGTGTTGTTTCTCAACCACTCACTCTATGGTACTTTGTTAGAAATGCCTAAATTGACTAAGACAGAAGGCTGCAGGTTAATTCTGGTTAATTGCCAGAATGAATTAATCTCTCTCTCTTTAATTCACATATGAAACTGAAAAGTCCTGACGGTCCCTGGAATTGGCATTAAGCATTTAAAGGATTCTGATGCTCCTGCTTAGTGTCTTGGGAAACTCTTGGAGCACAGCAATCTCAACACACTTGATGTCAGGCAGATTTGCACTGGGTCCTGGCAGCTCATATCTACCCAACCTGTGTCCAGATGGGCACCACCTCCTTTTTTGCCCTCAGTAATCCAAAACAGGGCAAGGAACACATTCACTCCACATGGCCACCACAGTCTGTACAGCAAGGCAAACGCTCTCTCCCCAGCCTCCAGGTAAGTACGTTCCTTCTAAGATGCTTCCTTCCCTGTTTTAGGCGTGCTTAACTCTCAGCATACAGGTGAATTCAAGAGCTAAAAATTCAACATAAAACACTTTAAATCAGTTCTTTTAGTCTCTAATAATTAACACAGGATGAGACATCCCATTCTGTCTGCTTATAGTATTAGTGGAAAAGCATATACACTCAAACAGTGGCAAAAAGTTATAGGTGATTCTCTCTATACAAGGTTTTAGTATTTAGCAAATTTCTACAATATAAAATGTGTCAAAATATTAAAGCTAAAATTTTATACCACTTGAGGAAAAAAATACAGTATTTTCCTAAGAAGAAACAAACAAACTTGAAATCATTTCACTTACTTTCTGTTCAGGGCTTTCCTGAAATAAAAGTCCAAAATAGTCCTTTTCCAAGAGATTGAGATGTTCGCACACTTTGTCAAATAACACTTGTCCCTTCGCACATTTCTGAGGGAAAAGAAATGACATCTTTACTTTTCAAGCACTAAAGATTCCATGAGTACTACAAATAAAGGACTTCACATCAGATAATATTATTTAGCATAATATATTTGTTTTCTAATCTCTTATAATACAAGAGTGATTAATAACCTTTTCACTTTAGAATCCTTCCTCCTCCCTACACAAGGCATACATTCTAAAATGAAAGCGTGATCAAATGCTTTACTTGCTACTCTATGAAAATATAAAACAGAATCAAAAAGTAAGATGCTAGGAGTTCACTTATTTTTATAATAGTACAAAAACAGAGACACCTGGGTGGCTTAGTTGATTAAGCATCCAACTTGGGCTCAGGTCATGATCTCGCAGTTTATGTGTTTGAGCCCTGTGTCAGGCTCTCTGTCAGCTCAGAGCCTGAAGCCTGTTTTGGATTCTGTGTCTCCCTCTCTCTCTCCCTCTGCCCCTCTCCCACTTGTGCTCTCTCTCTAAAATAAGTAAACTTAAAAAATAAAGTAGTACAAACTGCCTCCCTCAAAATTCCTCAAGGTGGCTTATATTATATTTGTGAAATATACTCCCCCAGGAAAATCATTTAGCCCTATTCTTCAGTGGATCCTAACATGATTTATCCCATCAGTACTTAGGCTTTTTTGTTCCACAATTTGTAGAATAGAAAAAAAAAATTATTTTTCAATTCAAGCTATGCTTTTTCTCAAGAATGACAGGACATTTTTCAGAACAATATTTTAAGATACAAGGGAATGGAACTAGGAGAATAAAATCAGTGGTCTCTAAGGGTGTATTTTGTCTTAAGTAGTTTGATGTATTTTGTTTAAGAAGCTGCTATCCAGAGATGTAAAAGCCTTGGACAGGCACTGAAGAAAAACTCATAGTCTAATCAATCAATGGCAAAACAAAGTGGTGACTCATTTCCAATGAAAACGCAGACCCCTGGGAACACTCAAACTGCGAGGTCAGGTCACACACATCCCTCCATCCCCTGCATAGACAGAAGCTGGCCCCTGGACTACAAGTGAAAACTGAACACGCCCTCAGACTTTTTCATTCTCAAGATGAATGTCCTAATGCCATCAAAATAGATACTTATTAGTTAATCCACTATGTGGAAAACTGAGGTATCCCACACATTTATCTTTAAAAATGGAATAAGAGGGGCACCCAGATGGCTCAGTTTGTTAAGCGTCCAACTCTTGATTTTGGCTTAGATCATGACCTCACAGTTCATCAGATCAAGCCCCACACTGGGCTCTGTGATCACAGCAGAGCTTGGGATTCTCTCTCTCCCTCTCTCCCCAAATAAATAAACGTTTAAAAACAGAACAAAAATGGAATACAAGACATTTTAATTTCAAATGAGTACAACTCTGATAAGGAGTTTCAAAAGACGGTCTTCAGAAACTCAATGCAAGGGTCTGTTTTTCTCTCCTCTAACCTTTCTTCCTTCTCTTTGTGGGAGCAGAGGTGGAAAACTCATGCCTGAGAGACATGCAAAGGAGGATCTGGAACTTTCATTATTAAATGTTTTATAGTAATGTTTCTTTTAAAAAGAGGGGAGTAGAGCTAAGATGGCAGAGATATAAGGGGACAAGGATTTTCCTTGTCCCTCAAACACAGCTGTAATCAGATCACTTGAGACATCCAGGAAGTCAATCTGTGCAGTGGCAGAACGATCTCCACAGGTGGAGTGAGACCGCTTGGTGGGACAGAGGTGCATGTATGTGAAAACTGGGGGAGATAAATTGGCATGGGTATGGAGGGTAGGGAACTCCTTCTGTGGAGAGACTAAAGAGAAAGAGAAAGAGAGAGGGGCTGTGAAATTGCAGTATCCAGTTAGCACAAGAGGCAAACCTCTCCAGACCACAGACTGGGGGACGAGAAATACGGTGAGTGCCAGTTTCTATTTTGCAAACAGCCTTAGGAGCTGAAACTCGGAGCTTTCTAAAGTGCACAACTTTCTCCAGACTGAAGCCAGAGCCCTGTGCACGCACCTGGGGGCAGAAGGAGCCAACCCTGGGGCGCAGTAGGATCTCAGGGGCACCCTCAGAGAGAACAGTCCCTTTCCTCAAGCACTGTGGGAAGAAGGTTGATTGCCTCCCCCAGGGACAAAAGACTTTGCAGGCCCGAGCCAAAGGCCTTTATCAGCAGGGCAGAGTGGCGCTACCCCAGAGCAGGCTCTGTGAGGTGCAGGGCCCTTGAAGACACTGGGTTTTGAATCCCAGCTGAGTGCGTGGGAGAGAGCAGAGTAGGGCAAGTCAACCTATTCTGTGAGGGCTGCCTGAACAGCGTGGTTTGAGACACCTGGTCTGGGGAGCAGAGATTGGGGGGGGGTAGTCATTTTTCTCCCCATCACCAAAGGTGGGGCTTCAGGGACCAACACGGCAGTCCCCCCGTGGAAGCGAGACCCGCTTATACCAAACCTGCCCTTCCGTGCCTGGTAACTGCACATCTACCCAAGTAAGATTGACACTGACGGTACCAGACCGCCTCTCCTCCACCAGCACAGCCACAGCCCCAGGGACCAATAGCTGTGTTTTTTTTTTTAATTTTTCTTTGTCTTTTTGTTTCTACCCTCCTCTTTTTCTCTTTTGGAACCAGGCTCATAATTTTGGATTTGTTTTTGGTGAATTATATATACTAATACTAAATATACATACGTGTGTGTGTGTGCGTGCGCGCGTGTGTGTGTGTACATTTGTTCAATCAGGCATTTTTCATTCTTTTTACACCTTTTCTATCCTTTATTTTCCTTTCTCTTTCTCTGGATTTAGCATTATAGTGTTTTTGATTCTCTGTTTGGTCTTCTGACCCCCACCCCCCCCCTTTCATTTTTCTCTTTTTAGGGGATCAGGATTCCCCTTACCTTTTTCTTTTTTTTCTTTTTTATTTTTTTTTATTTATTTTTTCAACGTTTTTTATTTATTTTTGGGACAGAGAGAGACAGAGCATGAACAGGGGAGGGGCAGAGAGAGAGGGAGACACAGAATCGGAAACAGGCTCCAGGCTCCGAGCCATCAGCCCAGAGCCCGACGCGGACCTCGAACTCACAGACCGCGAGATCGTGACCTGGCTGAAGTCGGACACTTAACCGACTGCGCCACCCAGGCGCCCCTCCCCTTACCTTTTTCTTTTTCCAGGGTGTCTTCAATGAACAAATCAAAGCACACCTGTTTGAAAGTCCAAACACTCCACCACTACAGGCGAGCAGTTTTCCAGAGGACTGACCAGTGGGACTGAGCAGCCAAAACGCAACAACAGGGTGCACACAACATACACCAAAAACACTTCCCGAAGTGCCAGGCCCTGAACGGTGTATGACGCCTTTTTAATGTAATAGTGCTCGCAGGTGCGGGACACAGAACAAGCTATTAAAACACGCAAAAGACAGAAACTTAGCCAAGCTGACAAAATAGAAGAACACAATACAAAATCAAGACTTCTGAAAGCAGTTAGGGACAAACAGGCCTTAACCTACAAGGGTAGACACATAAGGGTGGTAGCAGACCTGTCCACCGACACTTGGCAGGCCAGAAGGGAGTGGCAGGAAACATTCAATGTGCTGAATAGGAAAAATCTGCAGCCAAGACTCCTTTATCCAGCAAGGCGGTCATTCAGAATAGGAGAGATAAAGGCTTTCCCAGACAAACAAAAACTAAGGAGTTCATGACCACTAAATCAGCCCTTCAAGAGATCCTAAGGGAGACTCTGTGAGTGGAAAGCAGTAAAAAAATAAAAATAAAATAAAATGAATACATAGAATTATACTAAATAGCAGAGGAAAGAAGGTGAAAGCAACACAGATTATTTCAACACAGCAAGCACTGTACCTTCATTGTATCACTACAGATTCAGGAAAGTACTAAGGACATTTAAAATACGTATGTGTGTCTATGTCTGTATATTCAAAATACATACTAATAGAGTATACTAAGGAAGAGTATTGAACTCTGGATTCCAAATGCCAAAGTTTTACATTCATTTCCATTACTAACAAATTATGTGACCAGGGACAAGATACTTCACTTCTTTTTTTTTTTTTTTTTTTTTTTTAATTTTTTTTTTCAACGTTTATTTATTTTTGGGACAGAGAGAGACAGAGCATGAACGGGGGAGGGGCAGAGAGAGAGGGAGACACAGAATTGGAAACAGGCTCCAGGCCCTGAGCCATCAGCCCAGAGCCTGACGCGGGGCTCGAACTCACGGACCGCGAGATCGTGACCTGGCTGAAGTCGGACGCTTAACCGACTGCGCCACCCAGGCGCCCCAAGATACTTCACTTCTATTTGCCTTACTTTGCACATCTGTGAAACAAGGGAATAAAATCTACCACAGACTGGAGTACCAAAAACTGTAATACAGAGAGCTTAGAACAGTATATGTGGCACATAGTGCTTCATCAATATTGGCTCCTATTGTTATAAGCTGGAGAGTTTTGTAACATGAAAAGTGATTAGTTTCACTTACATGGGATTTGGGTTAAGCTTTTAAAATGAAAGCTTCTCAATTTCATTATTTGATCTACATGCAATTATTAACCTATATAATTAAAACTTTGAGTTCGGAGGTATTTTACAGTAACTTTATGAGGAGAAGGGAAGGCAAAGCAGACAGCTGGCTTTCTTAAATGTGCAGTGAAATCATGGTCCAGGAGGAGATATGGTTGCAAATAACAGCAATGAATATTTTAAAGGTAATAAATAAGATAGAATTCACTTTCTCTGACGTGAACTTCAACAACATTGTTCACTTCTGAATCTGTAGTGAGTAGAAAATGGCCCATCATAATAGGTGGTCATAAGATACTTCTTGAATCAACTGGAAAAACATTATGGTGTACTATATGTAACATACTTATTTTAATGAGGTGATATTTAACCTACTCAGGCTCCCAGTGACTGACCATAGCTACAATTTCAGCACCCACTTTGAAATTAGGAGCTTTCCTGATCAGAGATAACAAAGCAAGCAAACTACTATAGCTCCTGCCA